CACACTGCTCAACATGATACTAAATATGGCCTGCGTGGCGTTCCTGAAAGCTCAGTGCCTTATACACAACACTCAGTGACAGTCATCATGAGTTTGCACATCTTTAATACGTCAAGAATGCCGAGGACATGAGAAAGCATTCATCTTTAGAGACATCCGTTCAGAGTGAGAGAAGCAGCACTCTCCCAAAAGGCTGTCAGACAAAAAAAAATCATGCATATATGTGTGATGCTTATTTAAATTTGTAGCTTAGATTCTGCCATGGCTGAAACTTTTCAGTCAAGCTCTGGACTGACAATGTTATTTCTATTTTATTATTTGTTTTCTTAATATATTTCAAATGAAGAATTATAGAGTAGAAAATTACTTAAACGTTCATGTATTACACAATCACAAAATAAATTATCTGCCATGTTTTGTTTCATGTTCATTATTTGAATAAAGATGACATTAATTAGGATCTGCGGTCATTTAAAGCATACACAACACCTTTGTTTCTCATATTTTGGCAGCTTTGGCTGCAATGTCCTCAAGACCTTTAAGTAGAGGTTAAAGTGGCAAGCTTTGCACCTCAATATTCTGGGATTTTCTGCTTTTCTTCTCTGCGGATCCAGTCCACTGGGATGAGGATTTGTTGTACATTTTTCAGTCTCTCCAGAGAGGCCCAGTTTGGTTAAAGTTTGGGCTCTGGCCTGAGCGCTGTGGACCAGGTTTTCATCTAGGATATCTCTGTATTTTGCTGCATTCGGCTTTCATTCTAGCCTGTGTCTCTAACGCTGAAATGAATCACCCCACAGCATGATGTTACCACCGTGGAAATTTTTGGGAAATTCCAAGCAGGCTTTCATGTGTCTTCCTCTGGGATGAAGAAGACACCGGAGGCTCACGAGGATCCAAAGCCAGAAACAGAGTTGGAGAACAGACAGGGGATCAAAAACAATCCGATCAAGCAACCAAATCACAAAGCAAGGGGTAAACAGAAAAGACAGTATGGGATAATATACAAGTAAATAAACTCTCAGAATTGCACAATTAGAACATGATTTTGCAAAGATAGTGAGGAAGTCCGGGTCTGTTTTTCCCAAATGCTCAGCCAAATTATAAAGGCTCATGTGCTCTTGGAAACCTTCAATGCAGCAGGAATGTTGTTGTTGTTTTTTATGCCTAACCCAGATCTGTATTTGCCAATATTTCTGAGCTTTGTAGACAGTTCCTTTTACCTCATGGCTTGTTTTTTCCCTGATATGCAGTTTCATCTTTTAGAATTTATATAAAGACGTGTGCATTTTCAGATCATGCCCAAGCAATTGAAATTGCCACAGTTGGACTCAATCTACAATCAAAGTGAAGAAACATTCAAAAATGGGTAACACTTCAGACAACCTGCTAACTTTGCAACTACATGTTAACTTATTCTACTAACCCTAACCTAACAGTCTACTAATACTCTAATGAGAGTTAGTTGACATGTAGTTGCAAAGTTAGTATAATGTCTAAAGTGGACTATAAAGAGTGAGACTCAAAAATGACCCACAGAAATGCACCTGAGCTTAATTTCAAGCGTCAAAGCAAAAGGTCTTAATACTTACGTCAGTGAGATATTTCAGTTTTTTCTTTCTTTTTTCTGGTTCACAATTTTTGCATTATAGAGTATGTATTGTTTGATGTGAAAAAATAATTTAAAGCATTTTATAAAAGGCTTCAATATAGTAAACTGAAAAAAACGAAGGGATCTGAATACTTCCTGAATGTATTGTATTTATTACATTTCATTTACTTGAGTCTCGAATAATCAGTGCCTTAATTTTTAACATGATACATTGGATTCAACCAGAGTTCAAAGAAACTTGTGCCCAAGTGTTCGAGTATGAATCATCTTATTCCCATCCCCATGATATTAAAGCTTTATCATTTCTTTCTCTCTCTTTCAGATAATCTTTCATAAATATTTAACATGTTTCCCTGCGGAGATGATGATATGAATGATTTACGAGCTGAGTTTTAGAGATGCTCAACTCTTCACAAGTTTGGAGAGGAGCATAGCACAAGTACAAACTCTAATGTTCAGCTACAAGGATTTATTTGAATCGAAACAAACATCAAAATTTGCACGATTTTTTTCAAGATATACAGAAAAAAACTACATTCATTGCTATTTTACGTTACATTGCCAGTGTTGCAAAAGTCGATCAGCAGCAACCTTGCGAATGAGATGACCGATTCGCTGAAGCATGGTGTATTTGTACAGTAGGAAATTTACTGAATATCTTCATGGAACATGATCTTTACTTAATATCCTAATGATTTTTGGCATAAAAGAAAAATCTATAATTTTGACCGATACAATGTATTGTTGGCTATTGCTACAAATATACCCCAGCGACTTAAGACTGCTTTTGTGCTCCAGGGTCACACATTATTTACACAGAAATAAACCCTAAACTTGCCTGAATGCTAAAAGGTTTGTTTTGCGCTGCGGTGTTGTAAATGTTTGTATGTGAACAGAGTGAGTGATCACTACATTTGAAATGAGTGTTGCAGTTACACATTGCATTTTGCATGGACCTAGCTTTTTCTGCAGCAGTTTATTTCTGCTACAAAAGACGTGATACTGCCAACTACAGGGCACTGAAAGTGCTAGATCTTATGAGTTTTGCCCTTACTCAGCCAAACTGGTCAACAAGGCTACTTTACGTGAATGTGAGCTCCTTAGCAAGTAGTTGTGAATCACAGGTGTTTTATATATGAGACGAGGACATGACTGCAGCCGAAACCAGCACATCCAGTGCAAGAAGGCATTGACTTTTTAATTTTACTTAACAGTATTTCGTCTATCCATTATACTGAAGATATATTTTTGAAGGATATTGTTTTTTTGTGTGTTTTTTTTGCAATGTTGAGGTATTCAGTTATATTTTGGTTTTAGAAGATAAATGTGATTGCTGCGTTCCCCATAGCGACCCCTAGAGGACGCAGTGTCTCGTTCCCTACTCAGGGAACCATGGTTACATAAGTAACCTGAGACATTTCTTGTCAAATCAACATGCTCTCTGTTCCTCGTCTTGGACTTTTATGTAACTTTCTGTCTCCCGTGGTGTTTGTAGTCAGTTTGTATCTTATCTTTTTCAACTTGTTAGCCTCCTGTGTATATATAGCCCTAGTGTTTCTTTAATTCTCTGTGAGTTGTTGCATGTAATGGTTGTCTGTTAGTCCATCATTCTGTTCTTTGTTCCCTGTGGTTTTTATTTTATTGTTAAAATACGTTATTTTGTTCTGCAAGCCTTTGTTCGACATCTGAAAAAGAGCCGATGGAAACAAACAGCCATGCATGCTAATTTAACAAGCTGAGGGGATGAAGGATTTATCATTATGTATTTATGTTTTATTATTATTTATCCGCAGAATTCTTCCCAGAAGAGATGCTCATTTCTTTCTTCAACTGGGATGTGTACGGCATAGTTCAGCATGTTTTAGTAAGCTTCTCTTTTGTCATCTCTATATAATGTCTGTTTTTCTTATTATTTTATTTAAACAGTTTTGTGCAAACTTTCCCTTTTACCTCTCCTATGAAACTAAGAAGCGAGGTACATGATTATATGAAAACACAGAAAAGTTCAACATTTTAATATGCAAGCAATGGTCTCACCAACAGCATAGTTGGGCAGTTGCTGCCGACATGCATTTGAGTTAAATGATTTTTGATAATTTAACAGATTAGAGGAAAATGAATGCATGTGCTGTGTGTTCTCAGCAAACCAAGCATGACCACAGGCACGAAACGTCCCGCGGCTAACTTTTGCACAGAGCACTAATACTGAGCGTTCATAAGCTGACATCAGTGGAAAGTAGAACAGGCCAGGAGTGTGAAATATAATCTGTTTTCTATTTTATCCCTTCCCAGTGGCTAAAAGAAGTGGATGGACCATTCAGCCACAATGCCTCACTTAAAAACATTAGCTAATTCATTAGACACATTATGTTATATAAGGGATATTCAAATGTTTTCTCCATTGCTAGCGGATAAGTTAACTTAAATTTAATAATTTGACCTATTTATCTCTTTATTTTTAGGAGGGTTGCAAAACAGTGGTGAATTAATAAATAAACACATGCATGCATAGATGTATGGTGCCACCCTAAACTGTGTTTTCCCGCTAGTTTCCCCAATGATTTCACAGTGGAGACAGTTAAGGAGCTGTCCATGGTGCTAGAATACAATCCCCTCCACCTGATGCTAACTAGATTTGTACATGGTGCTGAAACTGTGTTTCTTCTCATAAATAGCTGTTGGCACTAAAATCCTGTCACTCTACCTCAGTTTAGACTCATATGTGACATCTGTAAGCTGTACGCAGCGATTGGTCGCCTATATCACGTGGAATTACCATGCACTTCTCTTTTTCCTCATGCTGTGAGGAATGACAGCTTCCTGTGCTCACATCATGACAGTCACTCTCTCTCTCTCTCTCTCTCTCTCTCTCTCTCTCTCTCTCTCTCTATTTACACTCCAAATCACACACGACCTTTAATTGTGTCATTCACGGACATGTTAAATAATTCTTACATATATCTCCACATCCATTTACCCCCAACAAGCTAGAAAAGCGAATTAAAAACGAATTAAATTAAATTAAATTAAATTAAAAAAAACAGACAACAGTCAACGTTACAAGGTACAAATGCAGAGAGACAGCCTATTCGTCAAAGAACAGCGTGTTTTAATTCTAATATTAATAAATGGCTCAAATGCATTAACAAAATAGCCTACACAAAACAGTATCTAAATTCTGAATGAATAAGTCGCGTTCGACGACACTAACTAACGCAGCCTGCAATTCGGATTACCTTTTATTAAATATCGTTGTGTTTAAAAGTAATCATAATTAAGACGCCTTAATATGCATGCGTTGATGCTTTGTGTAAGACGTTGTTTGCGTGGTAGCTATAATATTATCTGGATATAATGGAGAGATTGTATTAATAGAAGCGCTTGGATTGCATCTCTACCACGCATGTGTTGTATTGCTGCAGCGACGTGCATCAGATCCGCTTTCACACACTTCATCTGCATTCACACATTTAGCAGTTGTGCCGGAGCCGGTCTTGCATTTACTTCCAGATAGCAGCCAGTGTTATTTCAGTAGAGAAGGAGCTCGCCTCTGAGACGCGAAAGCCAACGCGATCTGCTATGTGTCATAGCGAAGAAAGGCAGTAAATAAAGGGGACGCGTCCGTCTGCGTGAAGAGAGAGCAAGATGGTGATCATGGCTTCTTCTTTTCATTGTTCCTCTAAATGCTTGAATGCGATGGCGATCCCCGCGATCTCGCTCAAGCTCTGTCTGTGGGCTTTTCTAATCGCCCATCTTCCTCTGAGGTAAGAATATCAGACGAGTTTATCACGTTAATGTGCTGGTTCGCATACGTTATGTGGCTGTGAGTGTCTGCGGTGATGCTCTATTTCCCATGGATTCCTCTAATCTGTTCTCCTTGGAGTATAGGAATGCGTGCATGTTTTGCACAATATGAAGATGCAATCTGATTAACATCTGTCGACATTGGAGCTTGCAGGTGTTTTTTTTTTGTTTTTTTTACACGTTGCTGGTGGCGAACCCCTTTAAATAAGCTCCAGAAAATCACTAAATGAGGCAGTGGTGTGTGAAGCTATCGAGTAGTCCGCGTTATAATAATTATAATAATAGTATAACTAATACTAGTTATATAATGACCGTGTTCAATCGGGAGGTGTGTCATGATTCAAACAGCCATTAAACCAAATTCAGGACAGAATCAGGATAGATGCAAAAGCATGCTATGTCTCAGTGTGTTTAGTCAAGGGCTAAAGTTAAAAGCTTTGCCGTGTACAGTGACGCCCTTTCAGTCAAGACGTTTGTTTAAGAAGATTTAAGTCAGGGATTGTCTCCTCCTCTCCACCTGCTGATGAAGAATCAGGAGGAATCCTGGCCTGTAACTACACAGTCTGAGCGTGGACACGCAACACAAGCACTAGAAGCAAAGAATAACATTAAAGCACTGAAACAAAGAAATAAAATGACAGGGGGTCTTAAGTGTCATGTTTTGTTGAGATGCATTTACTTTATGTTTGGTTCCCTGAGATCCCAGTGCAGTGCGTGCAAAAGTAAAACTACTAGTAATTTTGAAATGAAGCTATTATTTTGATATGCACCCATATTATTGAATATGCATTATCACAAAGCACTGTAGGTGTTCATTTTTTAGTTTTGGGGGTGGGATTTTGACCTAGGGGGGATGCTAAGCATACAAATTTAAATGAAACATTGTGCATTTTATCACCTTTTAGTTGCATCAGTCACATGGGCTTTCTACATTCGAGGAGATTACTAACAAAGGCATCTATTGTAATTATAGTAAAAGCCTGCTTATGTTCCAGTACTTTGTAATATAATGCTTGCTTACCGTTGTCGGGATAATGCGATAAATATTTTTGCTATCAGTCACAGATTTGATGTCATAACAAGTTTCTATCATACAGTACATCCCAGCCAATTTCACATAGGGCATCCGTCCAGAAAGGCGCCTATAATTGAGATAGGCTAGTGATAATTGATTGGGAAAGGACAGCTAGACATTGTGTACAGTTATTGAGGGATTCAAACTGTCAATACAGGAGCTGTGCAAACCTAGGAGCAGTAATTGTTCTTAACAGTGCTGAAATCATTGATTGATTAACAGGTTAACATTGATTAACAAGGAATAGCAGGCAGGTGTCAGATTCAAGGGGATCAAAAGCTCATCAGATGGCTGTCAATGTGGCACGTGTCGGCGGCACCCCAAGACTACATGACATTTTCATCTGGAGTCGCACCACAGGGACTAATATACACTGACTTGTGGTGTGATGAAAAGATTGCTGCTGCCTTTGATATCTCTCAGCATGCTGGTTTAAGAGCAAGGCCTGTAGTAACACCTCAACCTTATCACGTAAGATGTTCTGAACCAAAGCTCAGATGTTTGAAAGTTGACTCCCAAATGCATGCGGTGTGTCGCAGATGATATTCAGAAGTGAATCTCATCTTCCCAAATGTCCAGAACACAGCACGTTTATTGAAGTGTTACTGATCCATAAATACAAATATGTGCTACACTGTAAAAAATGACCGTGAATTTAACGGTAAAAGACTGTAAAAATGCTACAGTAAAATCCTGTTAAATGGTTAACGGTAAATTCCCCTACTATATACAGTGAAAAACTGTATTGGACATTACATGTATTGGACATTAATTTTACGGTAGTATACCGTTTTTGGAAGTGAAAAAGACTGTATAATTTACAGTGAATAACCGTAAATTGACATTCCCAGATTCCTTACGGTATTTAACTGTAAATTTAAGTTAAAACTGTAAAACCTAAAACGTTGCTACCGTATTTTTTACGGTAAAATTCCGGCAATCACAACAAAAATGTACGGAATTTTTTTTACAGTGTATGTCTTTGACTTCCTTGCTTAAAACAAATTGAAAAGGGCAGTAGTAAAAAATTGGCTGTAGTTAAAAAAGGAAAAAAATCAATGTTGGTCCAGTTTCATAAATCAGTGGCAGTTGCAGCCCAAAAATATAACCATGCATAGTTAGGAGAGCAAAATAAACAGGCCTGAAACGAAACCAGTCAACAAAAGCTGCAATAATGTATCAAATGTTTTCAAATAATTATTTTTGAATATTAAAACTGACCCTATTTAAACTCCAAAGTGATCTTATGGTAGCACTTCATTTTAAGGACCAATTCAAACTATTAACTAGCATGCACATTACTAGCAGATTGGCTGTTTATTACTACTTATAAAGCACATATTAATGCCTCATTCTGCATATTTTAGATCCCTTAATCCTAGACCATACCTAAACATAACAACTACCTTGCTAAATATTAATAAGCAGCAAATTAAGAGTTTATTGAGGAAAAGATCTAGTTTATTGTTAGTAGTAGTGAGAATCGGACATTAGAATAAAGTGTGACCGATCTTATTTAGTTAGGATTAAGCTTTAAGATCTGTGAATATCCAGACTGTTTAAAGGTCATCTAATTAGGGAACTGAAGGCCATTACAGCTCAGCTGATGTATTGTTAATAGCGCCTTATCTTCAGGACAGTGTAGATGGGGACATCTGATTTCTTCTGCTTGTCCTAGTGATGGATAAGTGGGCTACATGCACCAGATGATGTAATTCAGCATCCCATCAAGGGAAATATCATCTCCTTTTCATTATGAGCTTACAAAAAGGGTTACGGTGACTGTTTTCCTGCATTGCTGCATGGGCTGATTTTTGAGTTGCACTAAGCAGACATGTTATTTCATTATACTCAATAAGGATGAAATGAAAATCTGATGCAATGGCTCTCACCACCACACAGAAGCCATCTGAGCCACGCAGTCAGGTTCAAGTTATTTCCTCACACATAAGATAGTTCATTGCAAAATTGAAACAAGTTCGTAGTATATTGTTGTATGCCATTATATTGTACCATTATACTTTGCATGAAGAAAATGAAGCCTTTTTAGGACCTTTGGCTGCAAAACAAATTAGAAAACGCAGATTGTGGTAGCCAACATTGGACTTGGCAGCTCATGTCCCATTAGTTTCCTTCAAAAAACATTAAACCAGCTATAATGTGGGCAAGCTGCCCACGAGACTATCGGCGCAGACCTTAATGTGTCTTTAAGAAAGGTTGGGTTAACTCTGGGTTAACCGTTCATATTAAATAGAGATCATTTTGAGCTTAACATTGCATTCTGAACAGTGTTGGGGGTAATGTACATTACAAGTAGCATGAGTTATGTAATCAGTTTAAAAAAGTAAGGCAAAAGTAACAAATTACTTTCCATAAAATGTAGCAAAGTAACACAATTAGTTACTGTTTTAAGAAGTAACGCAATATTGTAATGCATTACTGTTAAAGTATCTTTCCCCAACACTGATTCTGAATAAATGATGGTGTGGCCTACTCTTTAAACTCGTAAAAAAATCATTTATTTGTCATTTTATTGTCATTGGTTATGTGCTTAGGGGGTTGATAAAGACCTGCATCTCAAGTACACTACAAGGAATTTTTAATTTAAAGCTAATCAAAAAGCTTATTTTCCAATCCAGGCAAGAGTGTTTGTTAATGGTTCAAGCAGTGAATATAGTTGTTCTGCCTTTCTTTTCTAGTTATTATTATTCTTTTTCTTCCCTAAAAGCATCTGTACATCAGAAACATTCATAGAGATTGGTGGGATTGTTAGAAATGGTTTTGCCTCTTATCCTTGGCAGATGCTAATATATTCTTCCAATTTAATTTGGATAAACAAACAAAAAACATGGTATTGTTTGTTACAGCATCAAACTACAATAGCAAGTTCTTGCTGATAACTCTAGGACAGTAATTTCCCATTAAGTCTTATGAATCTTTCGGTGCCCCCAAATCAGATCCATTTCCTCACCAAAAGGTTTCTGCAATTTACTGTTATTTGAAAAACTTGGTACACATTTTTTCAGGAATTTCAGGAATTACCCTGATGCCCCTGGGACTAACAGCAATTTCTAAAAGATCAGCTGTAATACTAATGCTGTCCAGAGGAAAGCACATGATAGGAAATCCTTTTAGGTCAACAGCTTAAAATCTCTATAAATAGTTCAGTATATTGACGTGTAGTGTATTTATATATACAGAGAGAGAGAGAGAGAGAGAGAGAGAGATCTGTGATGTCTAAAATGCTTATATAGATCATTAAATGTTAAATTATTGTTATATATTGTCCTAATGACATATTTGTTTAAAACTTAAAGATTTTTCAACGCAGAAGTAAGCCGTTTTCTGTGAATGTCAGTCTGTAGAGTCAGCTGTAGAGTAATAACGAGAAGAATAAAAATGTGCAGTAAACGGTAAAACAGTTATGCTTAACTTATATAAACCAGTGTGTTTCTAATTAAGACAATACATTAAAATAATATGGTATGAAACACTGGTGTGCAATATCACGCAGCAAATAGCATTCCATTTACAAATGGCCACAGCTGTTCTAATGGGAAAAAAAGATGATGGATAGCTGTGCTACTGAAACTAATTCAGTATTATTTGTATCTTCTGCTATAATACATACTATAATACTTCTATAATGTTTTTTTTTTTTTTTGCATGGCCATTGTATCACTGTATCGTCTACTTGAGTCATTCGTGAAAATCATCATTTGAGGCTATATTTATGGTTTTATTTCTAATATGACTATTACTGGAACAGGCATCTGAAACTGCACTCTTAATATATGTAGTATAGTGCATTGCATTCTAAACTCTCCATTTCTAGTGTTCTCAATAGAAGAGCAGCTCCAGTGCACTCCAGCTCTGTATGATATTGGTATTTTTTTTTAAGTTTCACATTACAGGCGCAACAATTAAACTGCTGGAAAAAAGTGTGAAATATATTAACTTCATTGATATTAGGCCTGTCACTTATATGCTGTTATCACTATTATTGCAGGTAATTAATTGTTATTATATGATAACTGATCAGTGATCAGTGATTAATTGAAAGGCAGCAGTTCTCTTGCCATTTCTTTTTAGGGCAGTCCAGTTAAACCCACAAGCTTTCATTTTACATGAATGAAGACTTTCTGTAGTTGAGTATATATTACATTATTGTATATACAGTATACAATAATGTAAACACAATAATAATGCAATTAAATACATATACATTATTGTATATGCAATGTGTAATTGAAATGTAAAGTGCCCAATGATCACAGTTATTAGTAATAATCCACTAACATCTTGATGAGACAATTATGTAATCATCGTGACAGGTCTAATTGATGTTCAATTTATTGTTCAAATTGTTCTGGGACGCTAAAAGTCTTCATTTTTGTGAACTGCTTAAAAGGAATATGCGTAGAGTTCAGCAGGAAGGTTTTAAAATGGGCTTCAGAAGCTGTTTGTTGTTGGAAAGACTGTCATGATGAGGTGCCAAGTAATATATTTAAAATACATTTATTTCATACTAAGTATAGTTCAAATCTATTAACATATTGACTGACATATCGCTCAAGATTTACTGGTATAAAAAATATAATTAAACTTTATTTGGAGTACTACTTGTACACAATGCACATTTCTTAATATTAAGCCTAAAATGTGTTTTAATGTCACTGCTGATGAAGATTGTATGATCTTTGAATGATATCAGCCTTTAAATGTAAGATATTTAAAGTGTACCTGAAGTAAACTTGCAATAGTGCCACTATAGCACAATCAAATATACTTCAATATATCTTTAGTTGGACTTTAGCACTACTTCGACGCTATTAAAGTGCATTAAGCACAAAATTAGTTGTTTCAGTTTAGCAGGCTTGAAGTATATCAGTTCAAGTACAACTGCTGGGTATTTTCATTCAGTACATAAATATGTACATGTATTTGTATACTTAGCATGAAATAAATGCATTTCAAATACATTTTAGTATATTTAGTTTTCACTATATTAATGTACAATGCAATGCCTTGAAAGTGTTACAGTCTCGCCTTTCTGAAATGTTTCATTAATTAATGTTGTAAATGCAAAACAGAGGCTTGCGTTTGTCGCACCTTCCCCTCACAATCTGATTCTGGGAGCGCTGCCAGCGAGAAAGACGGAGCGAGAGCACATTTCCACCTCTAATGCAACATTATTATTGTACGTCTGTCTGTCTCCAGCCTCCACCAGCACACCCACACTCTGCAAAGACTGAACGTTATCTTTGTCCTCCTCGAGATGGCGCCCTTTTTATGGTTCTAGTTAAATGGCCTTTTAAAAAACTTTGTTGCGTTTCACGGTCACGTGTCCAATTATGGAAATCACAGCAGCCATTTTCAGTTCAGTAGTTAAGAACACGTGCATCCGAAACTGCTTCCATCTGTTGTGTAAAGCCCAGGAGAAGCATTGCTTTTTATTTTTTGTCATTTATAATTGCTATTTTAGATACCTCGTGTTTGTATGTAATTGATTTCTCTGTTTTGATGAACATTGTTAACATTTTCATGTGCTCTATGAAAATGATTCAGAGATCAGTCAAGTGTTCTTGAAATAATTCCTGTAGTTTATTAGGTGCCAGCATTTTTTATCATTTTCACAAAATGTTCATGTGCCCCAGAATATTGTGTTGTATGACTATCTGAACATGCAATATGTCAAAAGAAAGAACAGAACCTCTGATTTTTATAAAAACAAACCATTTTATTCTAGCTTCATGCATTCTTTTTTTATTAACACTTGAATGTGGGCAAGTTTAAGTCCCACGGTCAGAACGGTGATCAAAATGTAGATGAAACTACATGATTGCACTCCAGTATTTCAAGTAAAGAAAACAATTTTCTTCTTCATCTGAGTGGACATTGAAGCCTCTTCCTTCCTTCCTTCACAAACTGTGTCATTTAGATAAACATTCATTAGTGGCTCTTTGGAAAACATTTCAGCAAAATGTGTCTGCTTTCAGGTGGAAAATAAGATTTACAGTATACTTGCTTGACGGCTTGTTAACAAGATCATGAATAAGAGCAGAACCAGATCAGATGGACATCTGCTATGTTGTCAATCCAAAGTCAACATGAGCTTACATTCTAGAGACCACAGAAATTTCGAAAATGGTAAAACTCAACTGTTTAACTCTAGGGGAGTTGGAAAATTAGCCTATTTGAGTGCCTCAAGGATCTGTTCTTGGTCCACTTCTGTTTTTTATCTACATGCTTTCTCTGGGTCAGATCATCAAGCGCCATGGTCTAAATTTCCACAGTTACGCTGATGATACGCAAATTTATTTTTCTGCACAGCCCAACTCTGTTTTTCCTCCTAGTTCTTTAACATCTTGCCTACATGATCTTAAAGTATGGATTGCTCAGAATTTCTTAAAATTGTATGTTGTCAATCCAAAGTCAACATGAGCTTACATTCTAGAGACCACAGAAATAAAAGTGCATTTATGAAAATGTTGAAAGTAGGACATGTAAAAGAGTGACAGATTAGCCACTTTGATTCACTTTTTTGTTTTTCTTTCCCCTTTAGCTCTGTCCAGCTGGAAAGTGATGATGATGAAGTGACAAACAAAACGTGGGTTCTGACCACAGCCCAACTCTGTTTTTCCTCCTAGTTCTTTAACATCTTGCCTACATGATCTTAAAGTATGGATTGCTCAGAATTTCTTAAAATTGAATACTGAAAAAACAGAGATTCTGTTAGTTGGCCCAAAATCCTTTGTCTCCTCTCATCTGGACTTTTCTATTAATATCAATGGAGTTATAGTACATCCTTCCCCTACAGTACGTAATCTTGGTGTACTATTTGATTCTACACTATGCTTTGAACCCCATATCATCCAGCTTGTCAAGTCCTGTTTTTACCAACTTCGCAATATTGTCAGTTTACAACAATCACTAAATTTAAAAAATGCTGAAACTGTTATTCATGCTTTTATAACTTCGTGCCTGAACTATTGTAACTCCTTGTTATATGGCCTACCTAACAAAGCACTTAATTGCTTACAGCTAATTCAAAATGCAGCTGCTCATGCCCTTACACAAAAAATCAGCCCACATCACTTCTGTCCTACAGCAATTACATTGGCTTCCCGTTATCTATCATATTCAGTTTAAGATACTCAGCCTAGTTTTCAAAGATTGTCATGGTTCTGCACCTTTGTACCTCTCTGAATTAATTCACGCGTATGTCCCTATGCATACTCTAAGATCGAGTTCTGGGAATTTGCTTGCAGTACCCAAGTTCAGACTTTCTAGTGTGGGTGGCAGGGCTTTTAGCATTTCAGCTCCTAAGCTCTGGAACAAACTTCCTCAAAACCTTCGTGCTGCTGTCTCTTCACTCCAGACCTTTGAAACTGATCTCAAAACTCACTTATGTTAATTGACTGTCTGCCTCATTTTTCAATTCCATGCTTGCTTGTATTACTTATCTGGAATTGTCTCTGGGAAAGTGATGATGATGAAGTGACAAACAAAACGTGGGTTCTGACCCCCAAAGTGTACGAGAGCGACGTCACACATATTTTGAACAGCTTACTAGACGGCTACGATAACAAGCTGCGGCCAGACATCGGAGGTAGGTTCGGTTTCTTTTTTTACATTCAGATCTGAGCTACTGAAGGTAGTTCAGCAAGTGTGTAATTTTGTTTAATAACTGACTCAAATACATGTTTAATCTCCACTGAACCTCTTTACATTTTGATTTAATAACTTTAATAACACACTAAACTCCCTCTCAATTACAAACCTTGATTCAGTGTTTGATAGTGTCCGTTTGACTGTCCAAGCATACAACGTATAATGTGGGAATACTGCATCTTTCAGATTTACTCTTTCAGCTGGGGTTTTATTTAAGTTCACTTGTGTTTGAGTTGTGTTGGGTATACTATTTTAATTTTCGAAATCACTTTCCAAAAAACAAATCTGCTTCTCTTATCTTTTTATAAAGATGTTCAGTTGTGATATCATCTGAAAGCATAACAACTAATTAAACTTTTAAGAACCGTCAGTCAATTAACAAAGCAAGGTATAAACCCAGAACCCTATTTTCTGAGCTCAACAAACTTATCAAACCGCCATCTCCCTTTCATAATGGATCTTCTGACCGCTGTGAAAACTTTCTGATTTTTTATACACAAAACTGACAATATCTATCAATCTTTATCTTCCTCTGCTCCTTCAGATCCATATGCCTCTCAGATACCCTATCCATTCTCTAACTTTACACTCACCAATACATCTGTGGTTGAACAGCTGATTATGAACTCATTACTTATCTGGAATTGTCTCTGTCTGCTTTATTTGTTTGATCATGTGACTGTATATTTGTATTTGTGTTCATGTTATCTATCAACTTTATGTAAAGCGTCCTTGGGTTTTGAAAGGCGCTATATAAATAAAACATTATTATTATTATTTATTAAATATCCATGCTAAGCTCCGTTCAGTCGTTTCTGAGCAGCTAGGTCCAGTAATCATCTGAGCCAAATGTTAATCATCTGACAAAATGTGACGGAGAAGTAGTGAAAAAATGCAATACAGTGTATTTCAACAACTACTGCAATGGAAGGGGCCTTAATGTAACATATTAACTTTGATCAGCGTGAGATAAACTAAGATCTTAGTTTGTTTCTAGGACAAAGGGTTCAAAAGTTAAGAATTTTTAAACTTGTGGTGGCACAATAGAGTTGGCCCTAGAGACACCAGAATTAATCAAATTACTTTTGAGGACCATCCCTTTAAGTGTGCCAAATTTCATTATTCTCCGTCCTACAGTTCATAGTGCTGCCATAGACAACATTTGGGGAGGAATAATAATTACATCAGGGGTTACAGCCCTTTCAGTGCAAGCACCAAACATGCTGAAATATGTTAACAATGCTAGCTACATGTTAACTATAGAAGCATTAAAGTAATGCCTAGAAACATGTGGTCTCTTGAGGTTTCTTAGTGCTCTTATGATGTCTAATGGGTTTGAAGAGGTTTATTTGGGTCTGAACTGGTTTGATGTGGTTTCCGAAGGGTCAGTTAAAGTTTAATGGGCTCTAAAGGGATTTAATGTGGTGTTCATAGTGTTTATTGATTTTCCGGTCTTCATCTAACTTACTCTCTGTCTGTCTGACCATAAAACCTTCGAAATTAAAACTTTTAGACAAAGTTTTATAAGCCAAAAACATCAAACCATCAGCAAACTTTATTCTTGTAGTTTGCATGGTAAAAGAGAAAAAGAGTCATGCATCTTTTGGCCAAAAACACACATTGGAGAAAGAGAAAAAGTAACAAAGTTATCATTCCTGGACCACATGAGATGAGATTTGAGTGCACAGCCTTCTGCGGTTTACATTTTCAGCATGAAGAGAATGTAATCACTTTATGTACTGAACTCAGCATGCATAGCACTCAGAATAATGGACAGGCAAAGATATACTGTTACAGAAACCCTAGATGAGATGTGATTACACAAACTCCTGATCTCCATTGCACTATATCATTTAACACAAGAGCTTTTGACCCCACGGATTTTTTAGCCAAATGGATTTTATATGCAGTGTCCAAAATATTAAAAAGTGTACATTTGATAATTATGTTATTCGATTAATGGAGATAGAAACTAGGCCAAAGTTGTTGCCTTTTATTGAATTTCACAGTTGTTATGCTAAATCATAAATAGCCTCGGTGGAGTTTTTGCATACGGGTGGATGAGGGAATCGGTACGGAGCCATGCTTATGACATGCTGGGATAATATATATATATGTCGTGGCCACTAATTTATTTGTTCCCCAGGATGTATTAATTCTTTCCCTCGTTTTTGTAAATCATGGACATGTTGTAGTAATTAATTTCCAAATCAAAACTAGGGAATGAATTAAAACATGACCACAAATGAAAAAACTGTTAATTCATTGTCACAATTTAACTAAAATTCATAAATCAAGGGAACAAATTCTTAATTCATGGCTACAATTAATAAATTTTTGTCCCTATGTCATATGTGTGTTTGAGGCTTCTTAAATTGGTGCAAAATTGTATAAAAGCTTTTTATTTTCAGCTTTTTGTGAAAATGACTTTTGCCAATCTACCAAAATCAGCCAAAATCAGTGCCTTTGTCTAGGTCTATGTCTGATGTGTGGCACGTTTCTTTGAAGGAATACAGAGAACTGTCTCTGATTTGTCAAATTTTAAATGATTCCTCTGATTTGTACGCACACTTTCAAGCTCAGTCTCACACTCTCACGCTACATCACTAAATCTCATCAAATAACAAAAAAAATGCTGTGCATTCCCTAATTCTAAAGTGTATTCTAGGGCTGCCAAGCGATTAAAAGTCGAATTAATCTAAGTAATTACACCAAATCGAATTAATTACACAATGTGCCGATTAATCTAATTAATCGCAAATTAATCGCACATCAAATTTGGCTGAGAAATGACTACAAAAGATTAAATTATCGTTTGGGGTAATTACTCAGCCAGATTTGATGTGCAGTTAATTTTTTATTACATTTTTTTTTTAAGTTTGATGCTTTTCTCATTTTTTTTTTAAGTAGCTTCAGAAAGAAATATTTGATTTGATTCAACATAGAATTTATTTCTAATAAACATGAATTAGCATCTCATGCCTCGTGTAATCGCACAATCAGTGTTTCACTCGCGGAAAGATGCGATTAAAACGGTTTGTAAACAAAATGTTACGTAACATTTTATTTACCTCAGGCAAGTCTTCAGTGTCCAACAGCTTGTCAGTTCACCAGAGAAATTAAGCCTAGAGAAGAGCATTTCGTAACCTAAAGTAAAAGGGCTCCCTATAGTTTAGAGCAGAGGTAGATTTTTTTTTTTAATGAGGTAGATTTAAAGAAAATGTTAATTCTAATTGAATTTATTTAAAGAAATAGCAATTTGTTCAGTAAAACATTGTTTAATAAAAAATAAAAAATAAACTATGTTTAGTATTTTTCCTGCTGCTGTACCGAAACCATACCGAACCATGACGTCAAAACCGAGATATGTACCGAACCGTCCTGTTTGTGTACCATTACACCCCTACTGTGGACTATAAAAGAAGATAATTTGAGAAATGTGTCTGTACTTACTTACTTACTTACTTACATACTTATTTAATTATTTTTTTATTTTTTTTATTTTTTTATTCATTGATTCAGCCCTTGTCGTTAAAATCTCACTCCAAACATGCAACCAAAGTTGGCAACCATGAGTAAAGTTAGTTTTAGTTTTGTGAATTTGTTGTGAAAACTGTAAATGAAAACTGGGCTGTGATGCTAATTTTGCGTGAACTATTCCTTTAATGGTTGATTACATTCTAAATATTTAGCATCCATGCTCCATGTAAATATGTATATATAGGTGCCTCTGTCATATGAATTCCATTGCATTAGACAATATCAAGCAAAACATTTCCTAAACAGAAGTTTGTTTTAAATTATACAACCACAGATTTAGTGTTGACAAACGTTTTCTATTAACTTTCTGTTTGTGTAATGTTAGTGGAACATGTGCATAGATCACCAAAAAAATCTCATTAAAACTAAGTCTGTCATAATTTACTCAGTGTTATGTTGTCCTTATAACTTACTTTCTTCTGTAGAACACAAATTGAGATTTAATGAATATCCTTTGAAGTCAGTATATAATGTTAACAAGAGTGTCAGATAATATGTTCATCTGGCTTTTTTCATGTGCTCTGATTGTTTTTTGTTTAAAAAAACGTACTCCATTGTTATTACCGTAATAAACCTCGTTAAATTTACTCTGAACTAACTGAACTAATTTTACATTCTTCTTGTTTTTCTCCACTGCTCTCTACAGTCAAACCAATCGTGATCCACACAGACATGTTTGTCAACAGTATTGGTCCAGTAAATGCCATCAACATGGTAAGAGATATCCTCTAACACATTTTTATGAATATAAAAGTATATAGTGTTTCTTTCAGGAAATGCATTTTTATTTTATAATGTATTAACATATTTTTTATACACAAATGTTATTAACATTAGAAACTGAAAGCTGTGACGCTGGTATTCTTACATATACTGTATGTCAGAGTGATATTACAAATTGCAATGCAATCTATCATTTTTGTAGCCTATTTATTTTGGATGTTTATTAATGCTTACATTCTATAATGATTTGTATGGGAGCCTGTTTCTGCCACTGAATAAAAAATAAAAGGCGATTGCAACTTTTCATCTCACCATTCTTAATTTTTTCTCAGAATTGTGTGATATAAATTCACAGTTGTGAGTTTAAAAGCCGTAATTGTGAGATATGAACTCACAATTGCAAGACAAAAAGTCAGAATTGAGGCATATAATCTCACAATTCTCACTTTTTTCTTGCAATTCTGAATTTTCTCAGAATTTTGAGATATGAACCTGCAAATGTGAGTTATAAAGTCGAGTTCTGAGGGGGGGAAAAGACTATTTTCTTACAATTTATATCTCACAATTCTGAATTTTTTTTCTCACTATTCTGACTTTAATTTCTCAGAATTGCGAGTTCATATCATGCAATGACTTTATAACTTTCAATTGCAAGTCAGAATTGTGAAAAAAAGATAAGAATTTTGAGAAAAATTTTCACAATGACCTTTTTTTTATATATTCAGTGGCGGAAACGGGCTTCTATAGATACTCATTCAGGATATCTGCAGTAACTGAACATTGTATGTCCAAACAAAGGTAATTCTGGGAGATATACAATTAAAGGAGTGAATACTGTCCAGTATTCTCTGTCAGTCCCAGGACTGAGGCGAGCATCTAATTGCAGCTTTTTTTAGACAAGAAGATAATTCAAGAACAATGAGACAACCATAAGGGAACCACAAACATAACAGCTAAACAAATTAGCAAATAATGAACAAATATCAACTGAAACATATGGCTATATATACACACAAGAGATAACAAGCAACTAAACAAGACACAGGTGAACATAATCAGAAACCATGGAAGCGAACAGAAACAGCAAATAAACACAGTTAGAGAAAACCGAAACAATGGAAACAAAATGGAAATTATAGCCCATTTTTAGACAGTAATACCGGTAAATTGCCGTAAAATTACCAGAACGACTTTACCGGTAAATACAAAAATGCTGTTGACACAGGCAACGGCGTTCCGTCTTTTTTCCGATTAAGCACCATTCACACATCGGTTTCAAAATACTGGTAAATTCTGTGAAAATATTAACCAGAAATGATCTCTTAACGGCTGCGGCTGCCGGTGTTGTGTTTGTAAACACGGAGGGGTAAACGCGATCAGTGTTTTTGCTAATGTTTTAATTTTTGTGTCAAACGTTCACATTCATGCAGCTGCTTTTGGCCCAGAGACATCGCATAACACGACTTCAAACCGAAGTTATGGCAATTTTTATGGCAATTTACCAGTAATTTTCTGTCTGTATGTGTGAAAGGGGCTTATATCTATAATACAGCAAATCTTTAGATACAAATTATTAAGATTGACCTGTTGATAAAGTGGTGATATGTTTGATTTGAAAACAAGGGGGTTCATATATTTAATGTTTATTTCTATAGAATGTTTATTTCTGTATAATTTTTATTTCTGTTCAGCACTTTTTTAGAACTCCAGCAATAAAAGACAGCAATACAGAGTTTAAGAGGTTGCAAAAGGCATACATGGTATAATATTTCTGTGTGCATGACATTTTTTGTCATTTTGAAACAGACCCCAAATACTTATAGAATATAATGAAATTTGTTAGTAATCAATAATTCCTATTTGCAATTGTCCCCATTTTCTGTAACATGGACAGAAATGCTGCTTGGCCTGTTGCCATTAAATGCATTGGAGATGTGGGCTGTTCTCCAAATAAACACAAGTGTTACTGGCAACTTTTTTTCTGTATGGTACTGTATGCATCTGTAAGAAAAGGAGTTTGGGCTGTGACAGTCCCTAAACATGTACATATGAAACGGTACGAAACAGATAACGAGTGTTATCCTACAGTCTGTTGTCTCCCGTGTTCGTTTGAATTTGCACCAGGATTAGGATTTAACATGCATTTAATCAGTGTTTATGTATTAATTCATTTGCACCAAACTTGTTTAAAATAGCCAATCCTCCACATTTCATGATCCAAATCCCTTCTCTTCTCAAAGTTGAATACTTATTCTCATTGGGACTAAGGGCTATGCATTCAAGCACTGGTTTTGCCTTTGTCAATCACACAAATGTCTGAAAGGTCTGCCCTTTCCGATTCCTCAGGAGTACACGATTGACATCTTCTTCGCCCAGACGTGGTATGACAGGCGGTTGAAGTTCAACAGCACCATGAAGGTTCTGCGTCTCAACAGCAACATGGTGGGAAAAATCTGGATCCCTGACACGTTTTTCCGCAACTCTAAGAAGGCAGACGCCCACTGGATCACCACACCTAATCGCATGCTTCGGATATGGAACGACGGGCGTATACTGTACACTTTAAGGTAAATGCACTTTCTAATTGTGAATTATCATGCATAAACCGAGCGTACCCAGATAGCAAGCAACCATTGAAACAATGCAAAGTCAATGTTGAACGCAAATTACACTGAATTAGTTACAAAGTAATGTTGGTTCAATATCAGTTCTGTACTCTCAGATAATGTTGAAACAGTGTTACAATTTCAGTAGTTGCTGATGTTAATTCTAGATTCTTGTTGATTTTGAATGATCATTGAAATTAACAAAAAGAATCAACTGCAATATTAAAACAGTAGTGTCCCTGAATCAACATTATACTGCGATTCTAAATCACTGTTGTTTTAGCAACACTGAAAACAACTCGAATGAAATGTTAGCAATAAAATCATGTTTAACATTTCAATAGTCCTGACCAATTAAAGACAAAATGTAGCTAAGGAAATAAAGAAAAAAATACAGTAAAAGTGGGACAAAAAGGACACTAGTCCTAATATACTGTATATGTATAATTATTAGTACTGTCAAACGATTAATCGTGATTAATCGAATCCAAAATAAAAGTTGTTGTTTACATAATATATGTGTGTATACTGTGTATAGTTATTATGTATATATAAATACAAACACATGCATGCATATATTTAAGAAAAATATGTTATGTTTATATATTAAATATATTTATATATAATATAATATAAGAATACGAATATAAAAATGTATAAACTAGGGCTGTCAATCGATTACAATTTTTAATCGGATTAATCACATCCTTTTTCTTTTCGTGATTATTAATCGTGATTAATCGCACACTTCATGAAATTAAGCATAGACCATTTATCTTGTTTCAAATGTTTATTTTGTCATCATTTGCTATATCCAGCAAAGTAAACCAAAAGATTGAAGGGTGATTCTCAAAAATCTATATTTTCTGCAAGCTTTTTTCAAGATAAATTTAGATGTCTTTCCAAAAAAAGGACACTTAGAAACTCCAAAAGAACACCAAAGAACCAAATGATATAAGGAGCCCATATAAGCACATATGAAAGAAAAAAAAAACTGAATTTTATAGTATGTGTACAGTGCAACACCAAAGAGATTTTTTACATTTTGGAGAAGCCAAGTTGTGATACCGAACAGGACCACATGGAGATGCCAAAAAAAAACTAAACCAACTGCCTGCTGACTGCATATATCTACTACAGTACACGGATCCATTCAGAATAACTAAACACAGCAACATAAACATGACAAATCAAAACATTATAGTGAATGTGTGTGGAAACAACGTGAATGTACGGAAATGTCTGTGCCTGTGCATAAATACAAAGTCTTTACCTTGATTGCAGTCTTCATCCATCAAAACTTTACTAGAGAGACTGGTTATCCAGTCGAGAAAACGTAGTTTGCGTCTCATCTGGCCATACAGCGGTGGGATGTGTTGACAATCCATTCAGTCTGTACTTCAGACAGCGCGCGACGTGTAAGGCCTCGCGTTCTTCAGAGACAATCACAGAATATGACAGAACTCGTGTTTAAAAGCGAAACACACTGGAATTAATAATTCACTGAAAACGCGACGCGAGTCTCTGTTCTCTCTGCAATCTCTGATGTAATCAGCCTGGTTTTCTTTATATTAGTGCTGTTTTGGACGGATTGTTTGAATGCATTCGCTTACTGGATCATTGGACTGAAAGTTTTCCCGGAATTTAGCGGCTTAAAATGATCTAATCGCTAGCAGAGAAGCAAAATTGGGTTAAAGGATTAGAATAAAAATTGTGCTTCAGTAATTTTGCGTTAATTGCATTAAATTATTTTAACGCGTTAAGGATTGTAAAATTAATTGCATGCGTTAACGCGTTAACGATGACAGCCCTAGTATAAACGTAAATATTTTGAATATATATACTGTATGTGTGTGTATTTATATATACATAATAAATATACACAATACACATACATATATAATGTATAAAAACTTTATATATGTATGTAACAATATAAAAACTTTTATTTTGGATGCGATTAATCGCAATTAATCATTTGATAGCACTAATAAATATACATATTAAATATATATATATATATATATATACAATTACAATGCTTCAGGAGTGATCCTTATTTATTTATTTATTTATTATATACACAATACACATACATATATAATGTATAAAAACTTTATATATGTATGTAACAATATAAAAACTTTTATTTTGGATGCGATTAATCGCAATTAATCATTTGATAGCACTAATAAATATACATATTAAATATATATATATATATATACAATTACAATGCTTCAGGAGTGATCCTTATTTATTTATTTATTTTTGTCTGTTTGTTTGTTTGTTTGTTTGTTTTTGATTAAATGTCACCTGAGAGCAAGTCCATTTAATCGTTAGTATGTTAAACCCTTGGTAGGTTTGCAAAACAATAATAATAATAATAATAATAATAATAATTCAAGGTTTGGGTGTGGTCAGATATTTTTTCTGTGTAGCTTACCTTGCATAATGATTACAAATTTGTTTAATCATTAAAATATTTACCAAAATATAAGTTTCATAATAATGTATATAAGTGTAGTCTTGTTTGACTGTTCACCAGACTCACTCTCTCACTCTCCCTCACACACACACACACACACACACACACTCACGCACACATACACACTCCCATCGATTGTTGCCTTCGGAGGGCACTGTGAAGGGTTTATATAGTGTAATCATTATTGCCATGCTCTAACCTCATTCTAAATACATTTTGTAATAAAAAAATAGCTCTAATAGTGAGTTTCAGATGGCCACACACCTTCCAGTGCTCAACAGCTTTCACAGTGAATCGTAAAGACTTTGAAGGGAGTAAGTGATTAGTGATTCTGAATGGATCCTCTTTCTCTCTCTCTCTCTTTCTCTCTCTCTCTCTGTCGTCGTTTGGATTGTTATCTCTGAGTCCCTCACATGTACAGTGAGCATCCTTTCTGTTCTAAATAACTGGATAAAAACCGCAGATAAAGGCTAAACGTGCTGCTTTCGAGTCATTAGCATAGGAAAATACCTCAACATTTTATGGACTTTTTTTGTGAATAAACAGATTTACGTAACATTGGTGACTGCATTTGTTTTCAGTAACTAAATGCAACCGTAACGAGGATCCCTCATTGAATGTACTTGATGTCAGCTGCTCTTCAAAGGAATGTCGTGAAACACTGATTTTGACCACCTTCTGTTTTCTTCTTTTTTAAAGAACATCAAAAGATGTCCTTTCACTGCCCTCTTGGCATTCGTAAATTAGTGCTTATACGGTATTAATGCATGAGCATATTCTAGATCTACCCTATACTTAAACAAAACTACTACAACGACTACCTCTCTTACTATCAATAAGCAGCAAATTAGGAGTTTATTGAGCGAAAACTCAACATCGCCTTGCTATCTGGGTAGCTTTTGCTGGGTACCATTGATAAAACACTTCACAGCTGATCACGGTTTGATGTTCATTCTGACTTGTTTAATTGATTCACTATGCAACTCTAGACTGATTATTTGCTTTCAGGAAGAATTCATCCAATTATAACAATTATAATGCATGTCTGCCGTTAATAGCACTTGATTTGTCAGTCGTTTCATTATTGTGCTGCTGTGTGTACATCAGCGTATTCTAGCGCCGTCCATATAAATGCGGGGTGTGCTAATGAAATGGCTTATAAAAAGACTTTTAATTAAGGAAATTTCTGTCTGTAGGTTGACCATTGATGCAGAGTGCCAGCTTAAACTGAATAACTTTCCGATGGATGAACATTCATGTCCCCTGGAGTTCTCAAGCTGTAAGTCTGGCCATACGCCCTACATGCAAATCCATCCACATCCCTTCCATTCTTTATTGCTTTTTCTCTACAGTTTTCTACATCTCATGTCTGCTTCCACACTCAGATGCGGCTAAGAGCATAGAAACCATTTTTAGGATGCTAATACTGACATTTCACTTCTATTTTCGTCCTGAAATATGAAGGACAGATAATGAGGAGAGTGACAATTTGGCCTAATGTGGAGAGACGTGTCTTCACATGCTCACACGAGCAAGCTGTGCCAGGAAGAAACCACTGCCATGGAATTCTTCCTGTCCTTTGACTTTGGAGGAGATGTAGGGGAAATGGCTTATGATGGTAATAATGAAGCAGCAGATGCACCGTGGACAGTCTAATGGGACAGCATCATCTGTAGTTTCAAAAGAAATGAAAAAACAGAGTGGTTTTCCTACAAAGGAAAATGTGTTATTTTATGAGAGTTGCAAATTGTTCTTGTAGATTATCAGTGGGAAGAAGCTAGTGAGCTTGTGTCTCCTTGTGCTTTGAAAACCATACTTCTTTCTCAACCCACATGGACTGACAGTGAGTTTGTGGAAAAGAAATTAAGATATCAGTCCTTTGATGTCTTGAAGTTCTGCAGCTGTTTAATGAAGGAATGCACAGTTAGGTCACTAAACAGGCTATTTCTGTAAAAAAATAAAATAAATAATAATAAAATTATTATAAAATTAAGCAGCATTTTTTTCAGTTGTTTAATTGTGTATACCCTACGTTATTGAGAAAAAATGGCAATATCCAAAATCCTTGTCCTTTTGTTTTTTTGGTCCCAATGAGGAAAACAGCTTATAAATCATACAGAATGATTTATACAGTATAAAAAACCATTAGGCCAATGGAATGAACCCATAAAACATGGAAACCCAACAAGTGTGTGTGTGTGTGTGTGTGTGTGTGTGTGTGTGTGTGTGTGTGTGTGTGTGCGCGTACAGTGTTGTGAAAAAGTGTTTGTCCTGATTTCTTCTGTTTTTGTGTTGTACTCTATACTAATTTGTTTTAGAAATAAAAACAATATCTAACATCAAACAAAGGCAACCGGAGTAAACACAAAATACAGTTTTTAAATCATAATGTTTTTTATTGAAGCCAAAACCGTTATTTAATATCAGCTGGGCCTGTGTGCAATTGTATTTGCCCCTGTAGCTACTAATTCCCAAATAGATGAAACTGCATTTATAATGGGGTCCAACTGAACTAGACACAACCAGGCCTAACTACTGCCAGCTCTCTTCAATTAAATCAACACTTAAATAAAACTTTTTCAACAGTATGATGTTTGCTAACGAGTCTTACCCAGTAACACACTATGCCAGTTACAACAAATTCCAGAAATGATGAGGAAGAAGGTGATGGAACTACATCAGTCTGGGAAGGGTTACAAAGCTGTGTCAAAGGCTCTTGGACTCCAGAGAAGCATAGTGAGAGCCATTATCTCCAAACAGAAAAACTAGCAGAAGAAACCTTTCCAGAAGTGGCCGACCTTCCAAAATGTTGTCCAAGAGCATAGCGGGGACTCATCCAGAAGTCACAAAAGACCCAAAGGACAACATGGAAGATTACTGATTCATTCTGTCAGTTGAGGCTTGAGTGCATCTGGCTTATGCAGCAAGACCAGATTTTAAGTTTATGGGGGCAATTAGTTTTTCACATGAGTGATCAAATGTATGTATTTTAAAGGAGTAGTTCACTTTCAGAATGAAAATTCTGTCACCATTTACTCACCCCCCCACTTGTTCCAAACCTGTATGAGTTTCTTTCTTCTGTTGAGCACAAAAGAAGATATTTTGAAAAATGTTGGGATCCGAACAGTTGATGAGCACCATTGACTTCCATAGTATTTTTTTTTCCTACTATGGAAGTCAACGGTACTCATCAACTGTTCGGATCCCAACATTTTGGAAAGTGAACTACTCCTTTAATCATGTTGCCTTTGTGTTATGTTGTATTTCATTTGATAATCTAAAATATTTTGTATGAAATATACATTATATATACAAATGCATTATATGTGTATAGATATAGATACTGTATATATAGATATATTCACACACCTAGCCTTCGCTACACTTTTTGCTGCAGTGGTACAGATCACTACTGCTTCTGGGCATCAGCTTGCATAGTCTAGCAGAGTGATGCCCCTGTGCTGAGCGTTCTAATGGCTTGATCAAGTCCATACAAATTCACTTGAATGGTACCTCAATCAAAAGGAAAGGACACAATGGTGGTTTTGAGGTAATGGGGCTTTTTTGTGTTCACGGGAAGTTGCACACCATCTGTGAATGTTACTGCAAATGCCTGGCCAGTAAAAGCCTGTTATATGATCATGGTGAGCTGCCATGAATGACACTTCTGAAGGCTCTGTGGTAGGAACAACTAGGTCGTGTTGTCTTTTGTATTCATGCTTCGGGTCACGTGAGGTCATTAATATTTGCAAAACCAGGGGTTGCCCATCTGATACTTGGACCAGTTCTAACAAATTTTTTATTTTATTTTTTCAAATGTTTTATCTCACCCTTCCCAGCCCGAGCTGCTCCCTTATGCCTCTGTCTTCTGTCCCCTGAGAAGCATTCACACACATGTTCCCTGATAATTGCGAAAACGCAGGCCAGTTCATCCACCAAATTAGCAGATGCCTGAAGTGAGGTTTTGACCCCTGAATCATGGTGGTCACTTGGGGTCAGTACACTTCATCCCTGTGCACGCCCTCACCTTGAGGCTATTACCCAATACCCCTGCTGCACTCACTGGTATTTAGTACTGCCTGGCACTTTTATAATGGGGCATTGGTCTTTGCTTCACAATCACCCTGCAACATCAGCTTTGTGTAGATTTGAATATAGATTATAAAAAGAAAGCTGAATGAAAATATCCACATCTTTT